AATCCATGCCAGGGTCAGGTCATCTGGCTTGCCCCCATCACTCCTGACATTTTAGAAAACAGGAAACTCCAGACCTCGAGAGGGAAAGTGAGTGGCTCCAAGTCCTGGGACTGGGATGGAGGTATTCCAAGGTTCAACCCAGTTCTCGCCTTTTCTACCTCATCTTCAGCTGGGACTGAATTCGGGCGAGGATGGGAAGTGCACTGAAGGGGTTGTCAGGACCCACACATAGTCTATCTACTATTTCAACTTTGTCAGGGCCTCCAGGAACCTCTGGATAGTAGGGGCCACATGACATTAGCAGGAAAGAAAGACCTCTTCTAACTGGCAGGTTGTGGAGAGGGAAGGAATCATCCAGGTCTCAAGACTCCTCAGCTGCTTAAATTCGGTCTCGAGATCCCCAGCCATGAGCTGCTCATGCTCCCCACCACTCCACCTCGCACGCACACCCACATATACTGTCACTCTCACGGCCCTCTCTGCCCCAGGGCTCGATAACAGAGAGCATGCTTCAGCAACAAGAAAGCAAACAGCTGTGAGAGCAGGTGCTGAGGAAGCGATTAAGAGTGTTGGAAGGATTCCTAGCTTTGGAGATCTGGTAGGGGCACCAGAAGGAAGCACAGTCAGGCTTTACTAAGCATCTGGTGATACAATCCTGGTTAAGCAAGAGGGCTCCAAGGTGGATTTTGGAAGTCTTGCTCTACTCCTTGCTAGCTGTGCAGTCTTAGGCAAGTCAGTAAACCTCTCTGTGCTTCAGTTTCTGTACCTATAAAATAAGGCTAATAATTGCTCCTTGGGGTTTGTGAGGACTGCACGAGTGAATTACAAGGCGTTCAGCCCAGAGCTTGGCACATGGTGAAAGCCCGTCAATATCCATTATTTTCACTCTGCCAGATCCTCATACATATGTAGTGAGGGAATAAAGGAAAACCTGACTTAAAAGTTGTCTACAGAATACCTCCAGTGCAGGGAAGAACTGTCATTTGGTTTTTGGGATCTTAGGAAGGACTAGGGCTGAGACCAAGGCGACCAAAATCTTTGGGCAAAGTAAAGTCAGTAGAATTGGAATTTCTGCAGAGTTTGTGAGGGGAAGTGGGGGGCATGAAAACGGGCAGGAGAAGGACATAAAAGTAGGTAGGAAGGACTGTGGGTCAGTATGCATGACAGAGGGCTGAGCCCCGGGGAGGAGAACTGTCCCTCAAGAAATTCCCAGTGACTGGAGTGGCAGAAGCCTTACAGGAACAGAGGCTTCTAATACTCAATTGCATCGTCCTCTGATGGGATGCATTGCCCCACCCACTTCTTTGGGTACTCTAAATCCTGTTGTGAACTTTGCTGTACACAAAAGCAGGGTGCTTTGGCACTCTGGGGGAAATCAAGGCAAAAGCATCTGCATTCTGTGGTTTGGACAAATAAGCCACATAAAGTGAGCACATGTGAGAGTCGAAATGTAGTGGAAGCAGAAAACTGGAACAAGAGGTGACAAGAAGCAGCACCAGTCTTGCTCTCCCTGAGCCCTCCTGGCTTCCTTACCATATGTGTGGGGATGGACGAAGCCATTTTATTTGGAGATGAAGGGATAGAGTAGACCCTGTGTCCAAAGGACATAGGCTCAGCCAGGTGGCAGACAAGGGCCGTATTTGCTGTCCCATGTCACCCTTGTATCAGCTCTGTGGGGGAGTCCTTGTTAACTCCATTTTCTAGATGAGAGGAGAAGGGTGTGGTGGAAGATTCTCCTCCCAGGGCTCTTCCTGGCTCACAGTCCTGGCTGAACCCCCAGGATCGTCCACTGAGTCCTAAGCACAATGGAGTGGGTGGGAGGCGGCAGTCTCTGGTGACCATTCTCCTGGCCGGGAACGGGCAGCTTTTGTTAAGACTTGGAAGTCCTTTCATTACAAAAAGGCTTGGTTTTCTGTGGTTTCCCTGCAGCTGAGTGTCATCTTGTGTGAAGTTACTTTACATGGCCCTGCTTCCCAGGCTCTGGGCTGCTGCTGGCTTCCTGCTAATGGTGGACGATTTCCATCAGTAGGTGGCAGAGGCCTTCCCGGCAAGTATCTAGCTTCTGCCCTTGTCCACCCCAGTGACAAACCACATGCCCCTGGAGCTTGCCCTAGGAGTTTCTGGGATATGGTTCCCCTCTGCCCGGAACATCTTACAATGGCTTTTCAAAGGGACAATTTACTGCTTGTGCCTATTTAAGAGGAACTTGTTGGGGGAGGAGGCTGTGGCTTCAGACTCCCCCAAGATTATTATTAGACTTTTTCTTCTATATTTACATAGTGAATGAGAGAATTACACTATCCTAAAGTGTCAAAACTGGAAGGACCTTCCAGTTCATCTAGCCTCTCGCTGTTACATTATAGACGAGGCCCAGAGAGGAGGAAAGACTTGCCCAGAGAAACACAGCCTGCTGGTGCTAGGGTCAGTTCTGGAGCCCACATCTTGCTCCAAGGTAGGGTTTTTCCACCTCACCCCACTACCGTGTCTCAGTTTGCCGAGTTAAGAGAAGAGTAGACTTGCATTAAAGGCAGGAGAAAGCCAGGGACCACAGACAGCAGGTCACTAACATTTCATGGCCAAACTACACCATGCAGGGGGATAGAGAGGAGACCTGGATTCTGATCCCTGCTCTGCCATCATTCCTTGGATGACCTTAGGCAAGTCACCGTGATTGCTTGGGCCCCAGCTCCTCGTCTGCAAAATGGGAATATCAATTCCCACGTTGCTTGCTCACAGGATTGAGGCAAAGATCAACACAATGCAGGTATGGGAGAGTCTTTAACAAAAGTCACAGCCCTAATGGGGATTATTATTATTAACATTTTTTATCTTGTTGCTGAAGCATTGAATTGTAGATTGAGGTTGGTTTTGGATTCGTTTGTGTTTTGATATTTACAGTGATGGCCCGAATAAGAAGGGATCTGATAAATGATCTCGTCCATGGCTCCCAAAATTTTGGATTTCATGGACCAAAGAAATTTACCCTAAAATGAAAATTCAGTGACCAACATAGAATGGGCAGCTTTTGATTTTGCCTATTGTGACCATTAAAACAAACAAACAAAAACAACTTGGACAGAAAGCAAACCAACTAACTCCCATCCATATCAACTTCACATTGTAAAAGAACGGACATTTTACCACTTTAGGCGAGGACATACTCTCAGAGGAAAGGGGTGCCCCTTACATTACAAATACTTGGCTATGGGAAAAGGGGGCTGCTTGATCCTTCTTTTTCCGATTCCACTCTGTGGAATACAGCCAGAACCACTGGTTAGAGCCCCCGTGCTTGGCAACCGATGTGGAAGTACAGAAACTGAGACCCAGAATGGCTGAGGTCACGTTGCCCAATCAAAACTGTCCTTGTCATTGAGATCATGTTCCTGGTCAAGATCGCCTCCCCCTCTTAGAAAATGAAAGGTTCTGGTCTTCCTTGGAAAATCTAGCTGGATGTGGTGGTGGAATGGTGGGGATGGGGAAGGGAAAGTGACATTTATGCAGTGCACTTGGCTTTTTGCAGGCTCTATAAGAACATGTGTTACATGTTCTGACTCCAAAGCCTGTGCTATTTCCATGACAGGGGTCGGCAAACTCTGATCTGTGGGTCAGATCCAGCTCACCCCTTCATTCTGTAAAGAAAGTTTTATGGACTCGCAGCCATGCCTGCACAGCATCTGTGGCTGCTTCTGCACTCCAACAGGAGGGTTGACTAGTTGCAACAGAGACCTCATGGCCCACAAAGCCTAACATATTTACTATCTGGCCATTTATAGAAAAAAATTTGCTGACCTCTGCATTATACCATGCTCCCTTTTACGTGAATGTGACTGTCTACAGAGGCATTGTGGAAATTGAGGTCACATGCTAAGTAATTCCAGCCAAGATTAAGATATTGTTGACAAAGCTGAGATTATTAGTCTGTCTTGAAAGATCCAGAATGCTTGTATGTCTCGGGCCTCCTGCCCTTACTTTCTAAGTCTCTGGGTGACAGCAGAAAAGGTTTCATGATAGAAACTCCAAGTGTGATGCTGATGGTGTGAGGAGCTGTGTCCAGACACTTATGTCCTCTGGTCCCAAGGATGCCCTGGTGTCTCTGCCTGGGCGCCTATGATGACTCTTTTACTCTTCTCTTTTGCTTTCTCTTTCTTTTTTTCTCTGAGCTGTCTGTTTACCCAGCTGTGTTTGCTATCTAGGTTCTAAAGGTTACAGGACTGAGATGGGGTTAATGTTATGGGTGGAAAGAACTAGAGATGAGAACAGCTGAGTTCTAGGTTGGCTCCATATGCCTTGGCCATAACACTTCACTGGGTCTTACTTTTCCTCCTCTGTGCATTGAAAACATTCACCGGATGATCTCAAAGTTTTTCATCTTCAGTGTTAACCGAACTGCATAGCACCCCTCTGGGGCTGGTAGAGACAATGCATTAATTAGTAACTTCAATGATAGGAAATGCGGGGGTGAGGAGAAGGTCTGTTTTCACAAATCCTCAACTTCATTATGCATTTTGGCTACTACCAGTTACTTAGTGATTACCATGTGCTGGTCGCCATGCCAAGCAATTTATGGACAAGATCTGATTGGCTTCCCCAATACCTTTGGGAGGTGGGTATTGCTATTCCCATATTGTAGATGAGGAAGTGAGGCTCCCAGGTGGAGTGTAGAGCCAAGATTCATACCCATATTGGCCCGACTCCAGATTTCAAGCTTTTAACACAACACTTCTTTGCATTCCTGTCCATGTCCGTGCAACAGCTAATGCCAGAGGTGGAATTTTCATTAGTGGGAGAGTTGAGGGCTGGTGGGAGACTTGTGGGAATGAGGGTGTGGATCAGAGGCTATTCAGATGAATCAAGATGCATAAGCTCAGCCCTGAGCAGCCCCCACCTCCGCCTCCACCCACTTTTCTGTCGGACACTGTCATGATATTTCTGCTCTTTAATCAACTAGGATGCGATATGGGTGATTCACTACATATTTACTCCTAATTCCAAGGTCTTACCTCCTTTAAGGGGGAATTTGCCCGGTGGGTTGGGAATGGAGTCCTGAAAGAGAAGAAAGAGAAAAAGAAGCAGTGTGAGGATGATGTCCAATTGAAACCACTCGTTTTTCTCTTTTCCATCTCCGTTGTCCTCAAAGTACTGTGCAATTTAGAATTTGTGTTCCATCTGACTCAAATTTTAAAAAATGAATTCACTGACATAGTTTACCATGTGCTTTCTCATCTCTTTGCTTGACAACCTGCCTATCAGAAACTCGAGATGAGAATCACTAGTCACATTTCACAGGTGAGGAAGTGGGGGCTGAGAGAGGTAAAAGGAAAAGTTGATGGCAGCTCAGGGGCCGGAATCTGCAATTCTGAACTCCCAGTCCAGTGTTTGTTTTCTTTTTTTACCTCCACATGTGTTATTTTTTCCTCCTTCGGTCAACATAAGAACAATCAAGTGTATAAATACATGTGGTTTTTTTCCATGTTTGATTCATCAAAAATAGGTTGTAAACATACCTGGGAAGGTACATTTCTATCTCTCCTGTGGTTGGAAATTCTGAATTAATTGAATGTTTATATGCCAAGCATTGTGAGTATACCATAAATAATTAAATTGGGTCTCTGCCTTCGTGGATTTATTACAAGTTTATATTTGAATATAATACTAAATATTTATAAATAAACACAAATGTATATTATATATTTATACATTCACATTATATTTTATATTATTTATTGTATAACAAACATACATATATACACAAATATTTACATAGATAAGTAAGAGGTTGATAAAAGCAGATTGTCTCCTGAAGGGGGGGCCTCCTAGGCTGGGATTAAAGGGAGGTCTTACTGGGGAGCTGTGAGCAAATGGGCAGCAGAAGCAGATGGGCACAGTTCTCCACCCCTAACAAGTTCCTCAAGACTAAGTAGTCTCCCTGCTCCTTTTCCCCACCTCAGCTATGTAGACACCCTCAAGTGTCCTGCCAATAAGGAATGAAGTGTCTTATTCATCTTCTGACCTGTCCAAGTTGGGATCTCCTATAGTGTATTGGATTGAAATATTAATAAAGACCTAGAGAGGTGTGAGCATTTACATGGATGAAAACAACTTCCCAACCTCTACCAGGACAAGAAGTTAGCAGCTGCCGCATCTTATTTTCTTAGAGTTCTGTAAGAACACCTGGGACCACCTGGAGGTCCTCTTCTATTCCACCACTTCCTTAGGGGCTCTGTCCTTTGCCTTCCACTGATGACTTGTTTTCTGTTAAGTGGATCTCTTCTCTAGCCCAAGGGCTTGGTCATGGGTCCAGAGAGTCTCCTGACAGCAAAGCCCTGGCATAGCACTGATCCGGAGCTGGCAGAAGTCAGTATAAACTTTTGGTCTTCAGCTTTTCAGGGGAAAGAAAGGGAACTTGGCTTGGAAGATCCTTCCCTCATTGCTCTAATCATCTATGATTTTATTGCTTTAGTTGGAAGCTCTTAACCTAACTAACAATGCTGTACCTTTGTGGTCTCTAAATTACGCATGCAGTTCATAGGAAAACCTGACGTCACAAAATTCCCCACTGTGTTGCCTCTGCGAGACAACAAACAGCATTTCAAAATTTGGTAAACACCTAATTTACGGCCAAGCATGACCGTCAATTAGTGTGATATGTGAACGCACAGAGAAAAACCACTACATTTAAGCGTGGTGCTAAGATCGTTGAATTTGTCAGCTGCCCAGGAAAGTCTCCAGGGACAGTGAGAGAATGCTAGAACAGCAAACCCAGTGCAGCCCACCCAGTGGCCACCAGCAGCTGGAGAAATGCCAGAGAATCTGACATTCAGCACATGTTGAATGAGCACCTGGTGTGTGCCAGGTATTATGTTAGTCATTGGAAGACATCCTGTGGATTTTATGGCTTAGTCATCAAAGCAGTCATTACAAATATACAAATAAATATATAATTAGAATTGTGAGTTGTGGCAAGAGCCATTGTGAAGAGTCAGGTTGCTTCAAGATAGTACCTGTGTGTATACGCATAACCCGGGGTGATGTTAAATTGCAAATTCTGATTGAGCAGGTTTGGGTGGAGCCCGCGAGTCTGCATTTCTGACAAGCTCTGGGTGATGCTGATGCTTCTGGCCCACAGAACACATTTGAGTAGCAAGTTTGTAAGAGATAATAATTGGGAGGCAGGTCTAACTTATATGGGGGTCAGGGAGGCCTCTGTCTGTAATTTAAGGGTTTTCTGACTTCCTAACTTCAGACAGCAGGACGTCAAAACCAAAGCATCTTAGTACAGGAAAGAGTCCTGTTGTTAAACCTTCATTCAGGGCCCAGGGCATCCAAGACAGAAGTGTGACTATTCTTTAAGAACTCCCCAGATGAAGTTTCATAGCTTCCCTGGCTACCCATGGTAGAAAAGATCAGAGAATCAGAGCCAGAGGGGAACCTAAACATCTTTCAGTCCATCAAGCTAATTTTACAGAAGAGGAAACCCAGATACTCTTGAGTCAGTGGCAGATCCTGAACTGAAATTCCCTGATGCTCTTTCCACTACCCCAGAAGAGATGCTGTCTTCAGAATCAAGTATAGAAAAGCTCATTCTTCAATCCTGTCCTCTCGCATTAGCAGTCCTTGCATTTGGAGGTAGAAAAGCAGAGTATAAAGAGATAATAACTGTTAAAATTTGCTGAGGACTGTTTATGCCCTAGGCACAATGCTAAGTGCTGTCCATCAACTCCTCTTTGGCCAGTCCCAGAATTCTCTCCCAAATCCTGCCTGGGGATCTGGGTCCTGGGTGGGGAATGTGAGTTGGTTTTGAGGTAGATAGTACATAGGTTAGACACAGCACAAACAAATGGACCCTTCCAGGTTGTCATTCTCAGCTCCAATGAGTAGCTCAGGAAACTTCATCTCCATGGTTACCAACTGGGTACCCTTCCTTCAGTGTACTTTTGTTTCAGGCTCTGGGTGTCTTATGGGTATCCCCAACAATGTTTCTCTGTATGGAGGGAGGAACTGTCAAATTTAACCTCCTCAGCCCCAGGTGAAATGACCCGATCCCAATTTATCTTCCCTGCCTAGAACTCTGTTTTCTTGTTTCCTTTAATCACTGTGATTAGAGGGCTAATAATCCTTCCCTCCACTGGGTTGTTGTGGACATAATAAGATATCATATATGAAGTGTTGGCAAGTGCTTGAAAATGGTAGCTATTTTGGTTACTCTCTTGATGTGCTTAATTTGCCCCAATACCTTAAAAGGCTCATTTCTTTGCACAGAGCAATGCTGTGCAGTTGCAATCAGCTCCCAAATTTGCTTTTGACAAAAGATGCCCTCTCTGATTGAATATGGCCAAAGGCAACTAATGTTTGAAATATGCCAGGGAGGTTCCATATACCCTTCCTTGCTGGCCTCACACTGTCTTGTAAGGTGGGCCGTGGAGATCTTTGCCAGGAATGTCTCTTTTATATTCAAGTTAACATGATTAAGCACTTGGTGAGGTGTTTAATCCTCCAAGGTTAAATGTTTTACATGCATTGTTTTATTTCATCTTTACCCCATGAGCTAGTGATTGACTTAGAGAAGAGACTTAACAATTATAGAAAGTCCTACAGATGGTGAATTGCAGGGAAAATTCTCCTGATACTCGTCAAGAAAGTAGACGGAGGTCATAGAAAATCCCCAGGAGAAAGACTATTTTTATTGGCCGACTTTGTTTTGATATGGTTAGTGAAAGTGAGAATTGGACCAGAGTGGCTTAAAGCAGCGCTTCTTCCACTGGGGATCTTGTTAAAATGCTGATTCTGATTCAGCAGGTCTGGGATGGGCCATTAGGTTTTGCATGTCTGATAAGCTTCCAGATGATGTGGTGCTCCTGGGCCACGGACCGCACTTTGAATTGCGAGGGCTTAAATGTATTACTCAGCAGGCAATAAGAACACCTGAGATCTTCCTTCCCCAGAGAGTGGGGAATGGCTATAGGAGGCTGAGTGTGGAGCTGGGCTCATATATGGATTTAGGAAATCTTCCTAATCTGCCAATGGGAGTGGCATCCTAGCCTCTTACCTTCTCTATCAATACTTCTTGCCACCATCCTGCTGCCCCCCTGTGCAGTCTGGACTGACCTCTGTTCTGGCCTCACCACTCCTCTCCTCACACCTGGGCTTGCCTTCCTCTGGGCTGTGCCTTGGCTCACTCTTTTGCCTCACCTGGAATGCCCTGGCCCACATACACCTGCCACCATCCTTCCAATGGAGAACTCTTCTCCAATGAAGACTGCCAGTTAATAAATGTGGAAGGATGATAGAATTAGGCACTCATCATTCTTTAAGCCTCAGCGCGTTAGCTGATTCGGACAAGGATCATCAAGGAATGCCAAAACTACGGAGTGAAGGAGATTTATATGTCTTCAGAGTATTACCCCATAGATTACTTATTAATAAGAAAGAAAAAAGCATTTTTACAAAAGAGATAGCTGGTGGTCACCACCTTAATCAAATGACTAAACATCATCGCCAATAATGGGACAATCTGACATAAGCCTCTAGCTGTGCTACAATAAGAAGTATATGATATTACCTATGTACTGTTCTTACCAAAAAAGTGCTTCATCTGAATAGAGTCATGAGTAAGCACCATGACAAATCCAAAAATGATCTATGCTGCAACAGAACTGGCCTGGATCCTTTGAAAAAGTCAATGCCACTCATCCCGTATTTTATCTGAACTTAAAACCAAACAAAAAAGCCATATCACCACCTCCAACAATCACTACCCCTTAAGAGGTGCTCAGCTCCACTCTTGATGGGGAGACAGAGTGGTACTGTAAAAATAAAATTTTTTAAAAAAAGGGATTTTTTTTGCTAATAAAGGTAAAAGTGGCAGCTGCTTTCTCTTCTTCCTAGAAGGGGTCTCCTTGAAAACCCAACGATCCTGAGCTCTTCCCGTAACCTTTTGGAACATAAATAAATCTCTCCATGGACGGGACAAGCCCAGTCTCTGGGTGTATAATACACAGATGTCTCTAAGATTGAAGACCTCAGAGCCCCTTGAAATGTAAACTCTTCTGGTGTCAACCTTGCAAACTATTTCCTTAAATAACCTTTGTCTCTGGAGGAAATAAGAGAAATTTTATCATTTTCTTTTTCCTTTGCTGTATAAATTGTGTGACATTTCATCCTGACTTATGTACATGCACTCTGTTGTGCTTACTCAACAATAAATCAATTTTCGTTCTTTCCACATTGACATGAAGAGGTGTCTCTTTGTTGGCAAGACTTTTACTCCCTCAAGAGTATATTAGTACAATCTCTTTGGAGGCTGATTGACAGTATTGATTAAAGTGAAAAATACACATTTTATTCCTACCACTGGGAATTTGTCCCACAGATGTACTTGCAGACATGCAGAGCAAGCAAAAATTCTAAAGAAAAACATGTGTCCTTCACTAGGCAGAGATAAAATAAATTATGAAGCCGTCATAAAATAGAATACTATATGGCTCTTCAAAAGAATGAGATGGACTTCCATGTATTGGCATGGAAGTCTCTCCAAGATACATTGTCAAGTCAATAAAGCAAGGTGCAAAATTATGAGTTTACTATAATGACATGTGTGTACTGTATATATGTAGATTTACACAGATTTTTGAAGGACATGGAAGACTGTTCATAGTGGTTATCTCAGGGAAGAGGGATTGGTGGTTGGGTGGGGAGGGTGTAAGGGATTTTTGCTTTTCTTTCTTTTGCCTTGTTCACTGTTTCCCTTTCTTAAACCGTGTGAATATAAAACTTTATAATAAATATACTGGTTTAAATGTAAGTAAAACAAAATACAACCACTACAGAGACTTTAAAGACATTGCTAGACAGTAAGTTCCAGAAGTAATAAGTAATATGAAAGCAGGATTCTGTTGGCTTTGTTCAAGGCTATATCCATATTACTTAGAATAATGTCCTGCACACTGTAGATGCTCAATAAATATTTGAGATTGAAACCCAAGTTCTTTCTTTGTCTCTCCCAAAGAGTTTGACCTTGGAGTTATTTGATCTTCAGGCCAAGTCTCAAGGCAATCTTAGTTGATTTTCCTACATGCCCTACATCTTCTCTTCTCCATCTCTTGGCTCATGCTGTTCCATTGACCAGGAGTGCCCTCTCCTCTGATTCCTCTCTCCACCTGCTTAAAATTGTACACATTTCTCAAGCCAGTCTGAAACGCCAAACTCCAGTGAAGCTTTTCCTAAACCTGGGAAAACACTGTCTTCTTAACTTGTGGTCTCATGGTAGACCTATGCACCTACCTTCTACCATTTATTATATATTATGACTTGTCTTGTTTTAAATTTTGTCTGTACATATGCCTTTTTACCCAGATCTATGACTTCTTAGGCCAAAAACCATTCTCATGGTTCTCCACCTCTACCCCCATCCAACCTCATGCATAGAGTGGAACATAGCCATCAACTCATTCCATTTTTCAATAATTGGGATGTGAAGTTAAGTTCCTTTGGGTCTCTCCCATTGATTTCTTTACCAGAGGTCCTGTTAGAGTCTCTTTGTTTGTCTAAGTTGTACTTTTTCTAAAAGTTAGCCTGCATTCCCTCTTCCTTTAGGAAGTCTTCCCTGATAACTCAAGCTCAAGGGGATAACTCTTCTTGGCTCTTACAACTGTTAATGTTTGAATAATTTATTGGAAATGATATGTGTAAAACACTTAACACTGAATATCACAATTAGTATTATAGGCCTTAGCTTTTAAGGAAGTAACTGATATTTCTCAGGCTAAGAAATCACAGCACACCAAACCATGCAATCAGATTGCAAAGTGAATCTTTTCATATCCAAACACGAAAGGTAAGTCTAGGAAATAGGTGCACAAGAAGATACAGCTTCCAAGAGAAGAGGGGGAGCAAAGTTTCTTCGTGCTTACGTGACTGTCTGTATTGGCAAAGGGAATGCTGTTCGCATTAAACAATCAAGCAGTCTTGACTCTACCAGCTTCGCAGGATGACTGTATTCAAGCCCTGTCCTCTTTCTGTTCCTCATTTTCCACGTTTACAGAAATGAAGCAGAAAGATCCACTCCAGTTCAACTAAAAGTGAGATTTGAATAAGGACAATTCTGGAGGTCTCTCTGGCTTTATATATCATAATCACAACTCTATACCCTGCTCCCATCACCCACCCATCCATCCATCCATCCATCCATCCATTCATCCTTCTTTCATTCATTCATTCATTCGTTCATTCATTCTCTCTCTCTTTCTTCCTTTCGAACTTAACTAAAGAACTTCTTAAAAGCCACTTCAATTTCTTTTCTTTGGCCATTGCTATAAAATGATACACCTCTGGTTTACATCAAATTAGAATTACAGAAATTGTAGAGCCTCTACAGAAAAAAATGTGCCCTAGAATGTTTTCAAGAGTATTATTCTTAGTAGATGTCGAAGAGCCCATTAAATGATGAGTTTCATAAATTCTACTATCTAAAGCAAATGTTAGCCCTTCTATTTTTTTTCACTTTTATGGAGATTTGAGCCTCAGAGATTCATTTAAATTTCAAAGCTTCATGACACTTGAGAAGCAGATACCAAAGCCTTTTAAAGCCTAGTTCTTTTTAGCAATCGATAAGTTATAGAGCATTCAGCCTAAGACAGCTAAAAAAAACCCTGAATTGTAATACCATGAAAAATGGGAGCAATAAAGGAATCAACAGAAATGTTCTCACTTTCCCAGGGTATGTGGGGAGGGGGATGTGGGTTGGGGGGCGGGTAGAGTTCTTAAATGACAAAATTAACAAAAACTTTACTTCCTTAAAAAATTCATGAACAATGTATCCTATCAGTACTGTATTTTCTATAAAACCCATACTGGTGGATTCTCTGTAAACACCAATTTCCTAAAATACGAAGAAGCTTCCTCCCTCATCTCTTTTGTTTTGGCAACAAATCTTACCATTTACTTCAAACAAAATAAGTTTCCTGAGACAGTTTGACTCCTCTGTGTGTACCCATAATTGCCTGTAGTTTTAGTATTCTGAGAAGTCTTGGAGGGAACAGGTGTTAAACATTTCTGTGTTCTGCCTCTATGCTCTGTTTCTTCTGACACCCTAAACTCGTCAAAGCAATGGCTCGGGAGGAAGCTTTCAATTTGTCTTGTGGGCTTTAATGCTGAAATGTCCAAAGCTCTAAGAAGCCCTGGTCTTCTCTCTCACCTCCTTCCCTTACAGACCTGGGCCTCTGAAACTTAATTCCTTGTTAAAAAAGCTCTTGGCCATGAATAAGTCCTCAGAAAACTCAGGAACATTTGGACCCAAAATACAGAACCTTGGAACCTGGTCTGAAGACCTTGAAGACATGATAACAAGTTGTGCAAATATGTTATTAGTTTTCCTTATTGCTTCCTTCCTTGGTATGAGTCTCAGGCTCAGCAAGATTTAAATCTTAATTTCTCAAGGCTAATAGCTCCTCTCCCTTCTTTTGGCTCATGGGAGTCCAGAAGGTTTTGAGCTGATGGCTTAACAAATTTTTCTCTCAAAAAGGCAAACCATTTCAGAGAGTTAAGTTCCAGTTTCTTTTCTCCCTTTCTCTACATAATATATGTTTCTTTTGGCTTTCAACCAATTTATTAGTTTATTCCCAAGTTCTCTCTCTGGGGAAAACAGAACATAAATCAGAAGGAAAGGCGAGGAAGAGGAGTCCACTTACCGTTTTCTGAACTACCAACACCATAATGGTTGCCACCGCAAAGACGAGGCACAGAGCCAGCGTCGCCGTGGTGAAATAGAAATAGCTGCGGCTGGTGGTTCCCAAGTGGCTGGCGACCGAGCCTCCTGGCACATGCATGGCTGTGTCTTGAGAAGGGGCCACTCGGCTGAGTGCTTGCCGCAGCCCTGGGTCCATTCTTATATAGTCTCCCCCACATCACACCTTATCTCTCCTCATCTGATTCGGTTCTGGGCCCATCTCTGTTCCAAGAAGGATTCTCCCCTGCATCCTGGATCATGTGACTTGGAAAAAAACCTTCACCCGCTGCCTCGCGAAGAAACTCTTCTCTGGGGGCGTGAGGCGAAAGGCGGCAGCAAGGGTGGGGGAGAGGCTCATTTTTCACCTCCAGGGATTAATATCTGAGTGCAGAGAAACTGTAGCTACAGAGAAGGTGGCTGATGTCAGAGGGCGCGAGTAGGAAAATGACGGTTTCCCGGTGTGTGTGTGTGTGTGTGTGTGTGTGCGTGCGCGCGCGCGCGCGTGTGTGCACAAAGTGACTGCTGTTTCAGTTTAGACTCAGCCACAAAACGCCTTCCTGCTCGAGAAGCTGCAGAGTCTCTTTTGCGAGGCCTGTGGCTCAGAAGACCTCATCAGAGAATGTCCTAGGGAGGCTGCATTCCTTGGACTGCAGTAGAATGACTCAAAAGTGTTCAGTTCCATTATATCGGCTTCTGCTGAAAACTGGAAATGCTACCAGATATCTGGGAAGGAAGAGCCCACAAATGTGAAGATTTATTCAAAGGCTCATGGCAGTATGAAATTTGGGGACGGGTTCAAAGATATTGTTTCAAAGCAGGAATCTGGAAACATTGGTCTTTTGAACAAAAATTCCTATCGAGTATATCGGGATCTGTGAAACTTGCAGATAATCCTGGGCCTGCCATAAAACTCATAAAAAGGGGAAGGGATTGTTGGTAGGGGTGAGGGTGGGGAAGTGGTGTGGCGTGGAATGTGAGAGGGGGTGTGTTCTGTGTGGTGTGTGCATGTGCTATGTGTGGGTGGTGGGTGTGTGTTGTATGCATGTGCTGCATGTGGGTGATGGATGTGCGGTATGTGTATGTGGCACGTGTGTGGTGTGCATCTGTGATGTGTGGTGCATGTTGTGTGTGTAAGTGTGTGTGTGTATTTGACTGCTATCGTTGAACTTCTCTTGTCTCCTGCACAATGCTGGGAGCTTTACACACTGCCTCACTCCACCGGTCACCTCTACCCTCTGAGGCAGGTAATATTTCTTTTTCACAGATGGGAAAATTGAGAATCAGAGAAAATGAAAACTGTCTCAAGCAAAGTTACAGATGTGATGAATGAAATAACTTGGGTGCGTAGTCATACCTGGCTGGCCCCCAAGCCCATGCTAAATCACCCAACCTTCACCGCACTTGAAAGGTGTAAACCTGAGGTCCAATCTCAGCCTGCCCTTATTAGTCTTGAGGCCTCATACAAATCCTTATGCCCCTCCCTTTCTCCATCTGCACTGATAGCCACCGTGAACAGCAAATAAGATGGTGATGTAAGAGTACTTCATGGATGGGAATAGACTTGGCGGAGAGTGTTGGACCATTCCGGTTAAACATTCCCTCAGCCCCATCTGGAATTTAGATAGATATGGTAGAGAGATTCTCTGGGGGACAGAGAGCTGGTCACATCTGTGGTTACTAATGATCTTCATTTCAAAACACTCTTTAAAATGTGAATCACTGCCTAGCTGGTGCCTCCGGATATAGCTCTTTGAAGACTTCATTTGGAAGTACCCAATTCTTTGCAGCACCCCTCCTTTTTCTGCTCCCTTTTTGGGTGCAGTATATCTCTGAGAGCCAGCAGAAGTCCCAGATCCTCCTGAGGAAATGTCCCGTGTCCAAAGCCAAGCTTGGATTATTACCACTGCTGCCTTGCACAGATCCCACACTGCTGAGCATCACTCGAGTTGGGTCAGACTCTAGGAGTTGGTCTGGATATTCCTTCCCAGTGAATCCATAAAGTCATAGATCCTGGAGATGGAAGAGTCATCAAGAGGTAAATTGTTTTCTCGGGCTAACCAGAGTGGTCGGCAGTATACCCATTTTCTAGTCACGAAAGCTGAGGCCCTCTTGATCCCAAGTTGAACTTGGTTTTGGAAGAAGGGGGTGTACACGTTCATTCGGTCTGGTGATTGAGATGGGAATGAAGCAAGCCAGTGTTTTTTGGCGCATGTACCTGGCTGATTTGGGGAGAAGGCTGTGTCCCATGGTGGGCACGGGCAGTGAGTGGGTAGCAGGGGGCTCTGTAATCTGCCCAGAGCTGCTGAGAACAGGCTGCTCCCTCGGCCTCTCTCTCCGGTCTCTTTGATGAAAGTGGAAAACTTGTGATTGTTGAATGGAAGCTGTGGGTGTTGAAAAATAAAAAGGCTTTGCTTGAAGTACAGGCCTTCCTGAAGGCCTGCGGGGCTGAGAAGGGCAGTGGAAAAAAATGTTTGTCTTACAGTTACCCGTTTTGCATACAGTACAGTGTCCTGGGAGGGAAGGCTGACAATGGGGAAAAATCACCCTTTGTTTTTACTCAGAACCTTCTGAGCACATGAGATTTTTAGATCAGTTTGCTTCTGTAGCACCTGTGGCCTGATTTCACTCCTCTCCTTGTGACACTTTCACTCAAGAACCTTTGATGGGTCCCTAATTCCCGCCCCCATTGGACTAAACTCTCCTCTGCTGCCAAGCTGTACCAGAAGCTAGCCTGGCCAACCTTGCAGTCCCATCCCTTGTGTTAACTGGCTTCTTTCTCTTTTCTACTCAGCCACCCAACCTACAAATGGAAAAAGCCTTTACAGAGTTTCTTGTTGAGTGAGTCTCAAATCCTTTCTGGAAGCGAAACTCTACAGTGAGTGAAAAATGTAAGAAAGCAGAGCTTCTCTGGCTGAAACAGAGGTGGGACGAGGAGAAAGGCTGAGTCCAGCCTGCTCATTTACCTCTTAATGGCCTGAGGTCTCTCCAAGATGGAACAAAATTTGGAAACTTGTGATTTAGCTCAAAACCCTCATTCCTCAAATCAGGAAACCGAGACAAAGAAATGGAAATGATTTGAGGGAGTTCATATGAGGAGGGATAGAGACATGCTTAGAAGTCCCCTGTGCTCATTCTCATCCTCTCTGTTAATATTCCCGGCACACCCAGGCTTCTTGCCATGTTCTCCTCATCCTTCCACTGCTTCAGATCCTTCCTGTCCCTCTGGGTCCCTACCAGCCTGTCTCACCTCCTCCAGGAAAGCACTGTCCAGACCTCTCAAGTCCATCAACATCCTCTCTCCAGAACCCTCTATCTCCATACCACATAACGCTGCATCTAATTATCTGCTTGTCTTGACATACGACTGTCAAGTGCGTGAACACTTGTGAATTTTGCCTTCCCGGTAAGGTTGAGAGTTCCTGAAGGCAGTCTGCACTTTCCTAGTCTTCTTCTGATTCCTTGTATCCCATCCCACATTACTTGGCACTGGGCCTATGTATGGTCAACCCTCAATCAATGCCTGTATTGACTTTGTGTTTATAGAAAGAGAAAGTTCTAGAAGTTTGGCTTATACAAAGGAATCGTGTGATGGTATATTTGCCTCCATTTCCCTCTCCTTCTCCAGATGGCTCACCTGGCTGCACATCAGCCTTTCTGTTCCAGCATGGCCCCGAGAGTGACCACTAGCCTCCTTTCAGCCATCAATTAGTAGTGAGGTGTGGCTACAGCCTCTGAGACCCAATGGGCACACAGAACTAATTTCTTATCCCCTCAAGAGGGAACCCCATCTTGAAAAAATGAAGAGGAACCAGTTGTAGGACCCCCTACTCCGACCCCACCCTACCATTGCTTTCCCAAATAAGGACCTATGAGATCTCTATCATGTAGCCTAGTGGTTTTCAAAGTGTGATCCCTGGACCAGCAGTAGCAGAGTTTGGTGGCACTGCAAATTCTCAGGCTCCACACTAGACCTACTGAATCAAAACTCAGGCTGGGGTCCAACAATCTGTGTTTTAACAAGAACCCCAGGGAATTCTGATTCCTGAAATCATTTGGAAATCACTGCTTTGGGAAATAACCTAAGTTTCAGAGAGAAGCTCCAAGGGATTCCTGGGTCAGACTCTGGTCTTTGGGTGGGTGAACTCCTACCCCCATCGTGCAGATGAGAAAACTGAGGCATAGAAATACTATTGTCCAGGGTCATGTGGCTGGGAAATGTTGGCATGAAGACTCGTTTTTCTGCCCCTTGATTGAGCCTTCTTTCTAATCTCAAATATGGCTGTAGGTTGTAAAATTACTATTGCTCATGCAGACGCAGGTACATTTGTAATATTTATCTAAAAGTTCCCTTGTGATGACTGTATGTGGTAGAAAGAAATATTTTTAAAAACTATTGGTACGTGTGAGAGAAGGACAAACTCCTTCAGGGTATTTTCAAGCAATAAAACATGCAATGAAACTGCCTATTGAGAAGGAAGGGTCCTGACCCATTACCTGGAGAGCTCTCTGTTTTGCTGGGCTAACTTGAGTAGGTTGGACATTGGTGTTGGCCAGAGTGACACTTCACTGAGAGGATCCAGTGAGGACAGATACAGTGGGGGGTAAGGTTTAGAGCAGGGTCAGCAAACAATGGTCACTGGCCAAATCCAGCCTACCAACAATTTTTATAAAGTTTTATTGAAACACAGTCATGTCCATTTTTTTACACCTTGTCTATGGCTGCGTTTGGGCTACAACAGAGTTGAGTAGTTTCGACAGAGACCTCATGGCCCACAAAGTCTAAAATATTACTATTTAGCCCTTTACAGGAAAAATTTGCTGACCTCTGGTTTAGATTATTAAAATAAACTCAAAGTAGGATAACCAAAGAAGTGATTTGGAGAAAAGAACAGAAATGTGTTTCCTAAGAGTCTTCTAGAAAATCTTCACTTATGTTTATATTGCTAACTCACGCTTTCACGGGGGAAGATTCTTTTTTTATTTTAGGGATTTACTAATTGTAGAGGATCTAGATGTCCTAATGACACAAATAGACTAGTGGAGGGGACACAGGGGCTGAGAGAGGTGTGGCAGAGACATCTGGGAAATAGATAGATAGATATACTTTCAGTATTCAATATGTGTGTGTGTTTTTAAATAATATGTAATATACATATACATATATACATATTTATATATATACATATATACACACACACATACATATATATGTTATTCCTGCCTTTAAAAAGGTTTTGAGGCAACTTAAAATAAAGGCTCAGATACATAAAAACTGAAGCCGTTAAAACAAAGGAAAAGGTAGGAGCCAAGGTATAAAGGTAGAGAGTAAAGCAAATGGGTTGAGAAATCCTGGCTGATAACAGTTTCAGCAGTTGAGCACAACATGTATACATCCGAGCTTCCTGGTAACTAAGGCAAAAAGAAGAAAACACATTGGGTTGCATAACTCTC